CCTAACTATAGGATTAGTATTGAGCTTGTGAGTTATAAGGTCAGGGTCTATACCGGGCATCTCTGTCGCAAACCATGCGAAAATATCTAAGTTTTGAAGTAAGAAACTTACCAGTTCGGATCGTAGAGGTTCTTGGATGGAAGCACTGATCTGAAGTGTTCGAGTTGGGTCTGCTGCTGAAGTCGGAACAGCGACTGTTTCTTCCGTGGGTGCAGCTCGTTCTTCGCCTTGCTCTGTAGGCCGCTCCAGTTCGAGGTCATCGGCCACCTAGGTCTTTCCCTTTAGGGTAGCGACATAACACTTGCGGGACTCGAGCTGGTCGCCCCGCGCTACCCCCACACCGAAGTCTATAAGGAACTTCATTGTCAAATGATAAGTGGAGACCACCACCCGTAGGACATGGGTGACCGGCCGACCTATTATGGCATTGTATGCGGAGGGGGTCGCGACTACCAGGAAGTCGAGGTTGAGTCTAACTACGCAGGGCCATGTGCCGACTTCTAAAGGTATTGTCACTTTCCCAAGGGGTCTGACTTCTTCTCCGCTGAAGCCCACCAAAGGAGTGTTCGCAGGCCTCAAGTCACTTCCCTGCAACTGAACTTGGTCGAACATGGCTTTGAAAAGAATATCTTCCGAGCTACCTGAATCAACGAGAACGCGCCTGACCTCGAAGTCGTTGATCCTTAGCTTTATCAAAAGTGCGTCGTCGTGGGGGGACTGGACCCCTCGCGCGTCATCCTCCGTGAAGAAAATTGGTTCTTCTGTCTTCAGTCGCTTCGGAGGATTTTGCTCTTCCCGGGCAGCTTCACGAACTGACATCCAAGCTGCTGCTGAAGTATAACCTGCGACGGTTGATCCTCTCACTATCACGTGGATGGTGCCCCGAACCGACCTCTCTTCCGGAGGCTGCCTCTGTGGCTGTTCGGCCAGCCTGCTGCTGGACTCGGGAGCATCCTTACTGCGCTCCCTTGCCGACCTGCATTATTATTATTATTATTGTTCTATACAAAGTTCCTTAAATATCCGCGACGGATGAGCTCCTCTATCTCGTCGCAGAGGTTTTTACAATTCTCGATACTATGATCGTGATCTCTGTGAAAACTACAATACAGATTCTTATTTCTCTCATTGGGATTACCCCTCAGGCGGGGTGGACACTTCACGTACGGGGCATCCTTGATAGCCATCAGGATTTCGGCCCGCTTTGCGTTCAATGGGGTGTAATCAGTTCAGTCCACTACAGGAGCTCGGAACAGCTGACTCGGCTTTGCCCCTTGAGCTACGTCTTTCTTCTTTCAGTTGTCTCCCTAGCTGGAAGGTTCTCCTTCTCTTTCTCATTTCTCGGGCGCGCTCTTGCCCTTCTGGTTGATTTCTTCCTCCGTGGCAATTAACCTGTCCGCGAGCTTAAGGAATTCGGTTATGGTTGCCGGCTGGTTGACGATCATGTGCCATTTGAACTCTTTATGCGTCACGCCATTCTTGGCTGCTGCAAGGCGCATGGTGGGGTCTAGGTGCGGTATCTGCATGCACGCATCGTTGAACCGCTTGATATAGCCCCGGATGGACTCTCCCTCTCTCTGCACTATGCGGAGGAGGCTTTCTTCAGTTTGCGGGCACCGCTTGTTGGTGACGAAGTGGGACGTGAAGGCTCGCGCGAACTGCGCCCAACTTCTTATCGATCCGGGTGCCAGGTTCTGGTACCACGTGCGGGCCACTCCTCTGAAAGTGGTGGAGAAGGCCACACACATGCATGACTCACTGGCTCTCGCTAGGTGCATTTGCGACTGGAAGGCGTCTACGTGATCATTTGGATCAAACGACCCGTCATACTTGTCAAGAAAGGGGAGCTTGAAGTCCTTGGGCATTGGAACTGCCAGGAGCTCGGGAGACAAGGGGGATGGAACTGAAAGGAAGGGAGCCTTAGCTTCGCCCGAGCTTACCTCTTCTTTGCCTTCGAGCTCGGGCAGGTTGTGCGTGGCAGATCGGTGAGCTCTGCAGCTAGGATCTCAAACCAGTTCTCCAAGAGCGGGGTTTCGAACTTCAACTGCCGAGGTGATGTAGACCTGGCGAGCTGGGGTCCTCCCGACCTGACCGCCTACGGCGAGACCGGGGTGGCCGGTCTTTCTTGTCTGCCGCGGGAGGAGGCTTGGCTCTTAGGAGGGTTTTGGGAGGCTTCTTCTTGGCGAGAAGGGCGTTCATCCTGGCGGCGAGACCTAGCTCGCTATGAGGCTGGGTGCCGAGGAGGGAGCTGCGGCTGCTAAAGCTGACGTTGAGGCAGCTGAGGGAATTGCTGCTGGTAGTGGTACTGGGAGACGTGGTGCAACACTTGTTGCGGGTAAAGCTGGTGTTGCTGGAGCTGCTACACTTGGGCTTGCTTGGCCTGCATGCACTGCATCAGATCGTCGAGCTGGTTCTGGCTAGTCACCAGAGGGATGACAGTTGGTTCAGCAAAGGTCGTTTCTATAGAGGAAGGAAGGGGAACACCCACAAGTGTCGTTGCTCGTAGCATGTTTAGACTGGGAACTCCGTCCACCGAGAGGGGAATGGTGAAATGCCCAATGCAGACCGTGGGAACCTGGGGTTGTTCCCTGGTGTTATCCATTTCTGTGCTATGTCCGATATTGCTTGAGGAAGCCATGAGTGTTGAGTTTTCAGAGAAGAAAGAACTATGAAGGTTTAGAGGAAGGCTTTTAGAAGCGTATCCCACAGACGGCGCCAAATGATGCAGCATGATCCGGGCACTCCTAGTTGAATTCTGACTAGCTCCTTGTCGGCAATGGACGGCACCTGAGAAGATGGGAAGGAAGGATTCCTGGGGATTTTACCCAGTGGGAATACTTCGATGCTTAAGTTAGAACGCAAAAAGGAAGGAAAATAAGAGCTGGTAGCTAAGAGTTTAGGTGCTTTATCACTATACTTGAGAGATTAGAGGTCTCCAACAGAAGTTTCTCTTCTGCCCTGAGGGCTTTTATAGGGGTGTTTTGGTCAGATCAGGCATAACCGCCACTGGGCCCCTGCCACAGTCGTTACCTGCCAGGGCTGCGTAGGTGGCCGTTGTGACATACTCCTCGCCCGGGTGAGTGACACTTCTCCAAAGTGACAGGCATGCCTCCGCCTGTTGAGAGACGTGGGTGTAGACTGTCGAAAGGACAGGAACTGCACCGTGAGTAGGGGACGTGGCGTAGTTTGATTGGTACGACCTATCAGATTGAAGCTTCCTGAGGAATGCTCGTGCGGCCCATTCGCGAGCTACTTTGCAGCGAGCTCGGAATACTTCAAGAGTACCCTTAGTAGAAACTAGTCCTCGGGATGACTTGTCTGCTTGGTAGCTCGGGCGAGCTGGTTTTCTTAGCTCGCGAGCTAAAGTTGCCTCAGAATATCCCTTTAGAGATAGCTCGAGGAACCCGGAGCTTGCACTGTGACGAGCTCCTCCTAGCGAGCTGCCTTACGGGCCCATTACTTAGTTGTACTGGGACACAATGCTGAGCTATCACTTATGCTGAATCAGTGTACTATGTGTATATATGTGTGTCAGATGGCAAAATTTATGACACATGACACAACTATGGGTCATGAAATAAATGACATGTGCCACAAGGAAAATTTGTGAATATGGCAAAATATACTCCATGTGGCAAATTTTGCAACACATAGCAAGACATTTGCCATGATCTCATAAATATAGGATATGTGTCACAATATATGAATGCCATGTGACAAAATTTGTGGCACATGACACAATATGTGACATTTTTATATTATAAAATTCTACAAATAGCAAGTTGTCACATGAAATTTATTATGTACAGTAAAACAATATGACGTAACCAATATTTACCAAATATCGTTTATGTTTTTAATCTCAAAAACTTGATTGAAAAACAATATTTTCCAAATAAAAAATCATATAATAAAAGCACAAAACATACTTAATTGAGCACAAAAGCATAAACTTATCCAAACATAACCTTAACTCTTCCAAGTCACGTTGTGAGAAGCAACATGAATTTTCCAACAAGGGAATCAGACTAATTTAATTACCACGTACTTTGCTAGCTTGTTGGTACTAATTAATAGATGGTAATTATACTTAACAATAATATGAATAAATGCATTTGTTCTATCAACATAACATGGTGATGTTGTCCAACTCTAGATGAGCATCAGATGAATGTCCATCAGAATGTCCTGATGAACTTGGATGAGCTGAGTTGGATTTAGCGACCTACGAGCTAGCATAGATAGTATTAGATATTGAGGTTAGGGATGTCAATTGGATTGGATTTGGTCCAATCCGATCCAATTTAATCTGAGGCCATTATAAATGGATAAGGTCCAATCCAATCCAATATTTAATGTTTTGGACCAATTTGAATCGATCCAATTCAATGTCTAAACTGTTCAATCTGTTCAAATTTATTTTGATTTAGATTGGTTTCAACCCAAACCTAGTTCATTGATACATATATTCTTATCTTATATCAATGGACCGATATTGGCTTAATCCAATCCAATTTAATATAAATTTGTTACGATGGGACCAGGTCCAATCCATTCTAATAAATGTCTTGGACCAGATTGGTCCAATCGAAAGCCAAAACCGGTCCATGGACACCCTTAATTGAGGGGATATGGTGGACGTGGGAACAGCTCGTTTGTAGATAGAGAGATGCGTGAGTGAACCGCAAACTAATTCCGGCCGTCATGCTCAGGACGGAATCAGAAGTCAAATCTCTTTCCTCCGAAAAGAAGTTGAAGCGCAATAGTTGGAACTTGGGAGGTTGTTGAGAGAAGAAGAATCCCGCGGTGAGGTTACATTACAATAAACATGGTTGAATTTGAGGGGAGATCGATGATGGACCGAATAAAAATAATAGAGTGACTATAAATAGATTTTGTGATGGCCTGCCTAGCTAAACGTACGACGTATAAATAATACTTGACTCCCGTCAAATCAAAGAAAGAAAAGAGAAGACAAGTGGTTTGAGATTGAGAACACAATGAAGATGAAGATGGGAGGAACTACTCTGCAGAAAGCTTTTATTCTCTTGGTTTCTTTATCTTTGTTGGGATTATACGCAGCCAATGGAGCACATTTGCGCCATGGTCACGGTCATCATGGTGGAAGGCATTTACAACATTCACATCATCATGCTTATGGCCGGCATTTACAACATTTACACCAGGGTTATGGTCGGCATTTACAACATCTTGAACGCCATGGGTATGGCCGAATTAACCGTTTCCGCTTCCAACAGGGTGGTGACGCCGGTACAATATTTAACGTCAAAAGTTTCGGGGCTAAGCCGGACGGCCGGACCGACAATGTTCAGGTTAGTGGAGATACGTATTACGTAGGTGTTTAATTATGTTCATATTATTTCAAGTGTTTCATCTGCATTTGGAAAGGCATGCAGATTTTATAATTACGTTTCAGAATTCAGAGTTTACTCTGAAAAATTTAAAATTCAACCGCGCAATAAGGAGATTTACATCGAAAATAAACATGTAAAGCAAAAAGAATTTTACACCGAAAACAAACGCAGCGGAAATGAATTGATCAAATTAATGATGTGATCGAGGTGGGTTTTATCAAATAAATGATGATGATGATGATAAAATGAAATTAATCATGTTCATGTGTGGGTGGGTGCAGGCATTTATGAAGACATGGAATGCAGCTTGCCAATCGGGGTCGAAAGCAACGGTCCTGATCCCTGACGGAGTATTTCTAGTCGGGCAGGTGATATTTGAAGGTCCATGCAAAAGCCCCATTGTTGTTCAAGTGAAGGGATATCTGAAAGCAGTGATAGATGTCAGCGATTACCCTTCTCCTGAATGGATTTCGTTTGAACACGTGAACGGCTTGACTGTTACAGGAGGAGGGACCTTAGATGGCCAAGGCAAAACCGACTGGAAGTATAATGACTGCAGCAAAAACGCCTACTGCCAGCTTCTTCCGTCGGTAACTAATTAATTAATATTAAACCCAGATAGATTGAGATGGCCGGTCGCCGGTCGCCGGCCGGTCGTTCATTGTTTTAACTTTTAACACTAAACTATTGGTGCAGTCTCTGAAATTAAACTCCGTCACCAACGGACAAGTTGGGCAGCTCAAGTTGCTGGATAGCAAAGCGTTCCATATGGTAATTTTAAAAGGCAAAAGCATTACGGTACAAGATCTCCAGATCTCTGCCCCTGAAGACAGCCCCAACACCGACGGCATTCATCTCAGTCGCTCCATTGATGTCACCATATCTAACGTCATCATCGGCACAGGCGATGACTGCATTTCCATCGGCCAAGGATCCAACAATGTCAACATCAACCAAGTCTACTGCGGCCCAGGACATGGCATCAGGTAATTAATTAATTCCCAAACTCTGTCGCTCTGGCTAGCTAGCTAACTAACAAGGAACAACCGATCGATCTGTGTCTATCTATACGCCATTAATTGCTTGTTTTATCACGGGACACAACAGCGTGGGCAGCCTTGGCAAGTACGACGACGAGCAGGACGTAAAAGGGGTCACTGTGAATAACTGCACTCTGGCAAACACACAGAATGGCCTGAGGATTAAAACCTGGCCAGGATCACCGCCGAGCCAAGCTTCAAGCATATTGTTTAAGAATGTCGTCATGAAGAATGTTCGGTACCCCATCATCATCGATCAACAATACTGTGCATCGACGTCTCACTGCAGTAACACTAATCCCTCCAACGTAAAGCTTAGCGACATTCGATACCAGAATATCAGAGGCACCTCATCGTCACAGGTTGCAGTCAAGATCAACTGCAGCCCAGCGGTGCCCTGCAAAGGTATTCAACTGTTCGACGTCAATTTAAAGTACGAACCCGGAACCAACGACGCGGGCCGTGATACGGCTGCCATGGCCACATGTTCTTATGCACAAATAGGCTACGGGGGGATACAGAATCCACAGCCTTGTAGATAGTTGCTCTCTGCAAACGGGGCTTTGAAGCTGCAAGCAATTAATAATTAAGTGGCGAGATCACGGCGACGGGAAAATGTTCAATGCTCCGATCGACAAAGTGAAATCGCCATTTTTACGTCCGACACTGCAGCTTCCATCACACGATTTCAACAATACGCACCACATTAACTATTTATTACTTTATTAGAACTTGCTCTTCTCTATTGTAAAGTATTAGTGTGTGGATGTATACATTTCTCGCCTTTTGGCTAAGATCGTGTGTTGATGTAAAATAGTGTCATCAATAAATTAAATGACTCTTGTCCCGTTTGTTTATCTGGAAATTTGATTTTCCCATTTTCCAAGTGGTTTATAAAATAGTTTGCCCCATTATATTTGACCTTTTATTATATTAATTATTTAGGAATCAAATCAAAAGAAAATGAATAAGTGAATTTATTTACTTGCGTAAATACAATTACCCAGGTAAGTATGAAATTTAGAAACAAATGGGAACTAAATAAAAGGAAAGTGGGTCGGTACTCTATAAAGAAGTTAAAACTCGTATAGATGATCGGCGGCAACAACGCTGGACCTCTGCTTTTGCAACCCATTAAGGTTCAGGTACTCTAAAACAAGTCCAACTAGAGCAAAGAAGAAGAAGCACTCAGGAACCGAAAGAGGTTTTGAACTCAAATTTTTAATTGATCTCAAGAGGGGAGACAAATCTGGACATTAGAGGGCTAAACGCGATATTCATTGGGTAGTCGGTTCTACGGTTAATGCCACTGGGAGTTGGGGATTACCGACATGCATCCACTTCACACCCAGGATGGGCGTCGGTGTCGAATGTCAATGTGTTGACAAAGCATTATGTAATGGGTCTGTTGCAAGTGTTAATCATATGAATGACTGAACCATACTAGATGATTGGACAAAATTTCAAAAATTTACTACTCCTTCTAAGAATCGAATTCCCTCTGTTTTGCAAAACTACAACTTTTAGGATAGGTCATGCACTGAACCAAACCAAATTTGAAATCAAACATAAAGGGAGATTTGTACCTGATACAGATACCACAAATGCATATCCCAATGTGAAAATTCATGCTCAAATCAGTCATAAAACCAGCATCCACTGAAGATGACCCAGTGTATAGGTGAAGCTGATTCAGCAACACCGTTTTCAACAAAATTGCAATCCAACTGTTCGGATCAAACTAGGGAATGTGAGTCTGAAATTCTTCTAAATTTTTCTCGCAAAAATTGGAAGAAAATTGTTCTCTATTAGTCCTTAAAAGCCTATGTCGTGATAGGATTTCATGAAAGACAAAAGAGAAGAAGAAAAAACAAGAGAGAGTGGTCTTCTAGTCTGGTTCGCCCTCTTCTTTTTTTATCTTCTTATGGAGCACTCTCCTAATCAAATTAGGAGATTATCCAAATTTAATTTGGATCGGGACTCTATTAAGAAATAAGCCTTATCCATTTAAGATGATGGATGCTCCAAACCCATTTCCAGACCTAAACTTGATCCAGAGCACATGACAATTGTCATGTGACAGTTTACTTAATCTTATTAATTATAGGTCTTAGGCCTATTTCCTTTAAAGGCTCACAACCCAAGGTGTTGCATGGGCAATTTAGGCCGGATTTGTATGGCATGGGACCCCACAATGATCTCACATAAGTTCACATGGATTCAAATTATACTCTATGAAAAAGCTTAGTTGAATTTACTACTAAACACAGTGAACCCCTGAGCACATCACTATGGGTTCAATATTGGCTCAACATTTAGACCTAAATGATCATTGAATTCAGTCATCCTATGAAAATCCAAGGATAATGGACTTAAGTAAGATAAAGCTCATTAAGTAATCAACATTATAATGGTCAATTACACTTAACCTCTCGGCCCATAATGATCACAACATTGCCCGATAAAGAAGGACATTTCCCCTATCTACAATGTATAGTGTCACACTCTATGTTTGGATAAATCCCATTTATTAAAACCTTTTGCAAACATTATCATTCACTTTGTCTAAATATATAATATATATATTTGTTATTTATTTTTTATAAAAAACATGTATATATGATGAAAATAATTAAAAAATACTTGTACTTTTTGTTTTTACTTTATTTAAATTAGTATATTTTAATTTTCATTTAATAATTTATTATTTAAAAAAAACAGGTCGGATCAATCAGATCCGAAGATCCGATTTACCAATAGGATTCAAATTCAAATTGAGTCCTATTTGATGTGATCAAATCTTCGAATCGGATCGGAGCTAACATGACAATGTTGCTGATTCAAATCCGATCTGATACGTTTACATCCCTACTTATTTGCGTTTGGAAAATAAACCCAAATAAATACTTATTAGAGAAGCCCAAATTATGAGCTTATTTTTAAGTGATTTCCTTTCTGGCCTATCTTGGCCAGCCATGTCATTTTAAAAATACCTATTAGTACTTTTTCATCAAACATTCATGAACACTTAATAGAATGAATTTATTTTTAAGCATTTACTTAATAAGCACTCATTTTTCAAATAAACACTCCCAAACACTGCTTTAATGGATTAAAATGGCACGTGAGATGACTTACTAACATTGGAAGATAACCATTTGATACAATCAGCCATGTGTTGAGAAAGTGATTATTGAACCAGCCTCTAGTGCTGATGATGGTGGTGTTGCTCCAGCTGTACATATTCAATCACCAAAAGAGGTGTTATAAACCATTGACATGCTAGACGCTAATTATAGGCCATGGTCCAAAAAAGAAAGGGCCACGCAAGGCATTTTGATCAATTTCCCGTGCTAGTTTGGCTGCAACTTGGGTCAGATTTGCCCAAATCCAATCCAAAAATGACATGTTGGGTTAGATTAATGATTGGATTAGGCTTAGGGTTGAATTTTATGAACCCAACATCACTTTGCGTTAGGTTAGGATTAAACCCCCGCACTCAGATTTTTATGCTGTGTTTGGTTTGAAATAAAAAGGTAGTAAAATGAAGGCAAAGGCAACTTGACCCAACCCAATTTTTAACTATCTTTTCTTTCAAACTATACACATAGCCTTAATGTATATCAAAATATGTGATCACGTGGTCCAGATATATGTAATCATTTTTTATTTGCTTTAAACCTCAAACATTAATAATCCTAACGTTTTATTGGGAGAGGGAAAAGTTGGTCAATGGGATTTTAGTTCTCATTGATCAAGAATTCCATGTTCATTTTTCATATTTATGTGGGGACCAGAGAATGTTTATTTTCCTGTGTATCTGGGTAAGTGATACCCATCTCCTAGGTGGATAAATAACTTTCCCACCTAGGGAAAAACTGCTAACATTTGAATGGGGCAAAAATGCCCCTTTTAATAATGGATTTTTATGATTAAAATGGTCATTACCTTATTTACCTAAAAAATAAAAGAACATGGATAAATGCACTTACCCAAATAAGTGCTTCCCAAGAAAAAGTTACCCAGATAAATGCATTTACATGGGTAAATAACTTACCAAAAAGCGAACGGGGTCTTAATTTTTTCTTCAAACTCTTTTCTTCTTGGCTTATTCCTACTGCACTATGCCTAAGTATCTCACAAGTTGCTTCCGCACACTTTCCTCTTAGTTGTTGCCTCAGATTACCCTCACCAGTTGCCATTGCTTGATGTATTAACATTTTTTTCTTTTTTTAGACCCTTAAGATTGTATTTGATTTGAAAAAAAAAAATACAAAGAAAGAAAGGGAAATGCAAAAAAATCTGAACAAACCTTATATATGTTTTTCTTTTCTTTTTCTACTTTTTGTTTCAAACCAAACACAGCCTAAGTTTACTCAAGTGGAGGAATCACCACCTTAAATTTTATTAACCACTATCAATAGGGAGGAAGAAAATCATAGGGGAATATGTAGGAGTTAATATTACCTACGAGCAACATTGAAGGACAACTCAGCGACTCCCAGTGATTATTGAGCACACCAGTGTGTAGTGAAAAAGATAAAATATCACATCAAACCGGTACCTGATTAATACACCTGCGTATTCAAAAATCACTGGTGGGTCGTTGAACTGTTCTGCGATGCTAGTCGAGGGTAATCTTTTCATAAGATGTAGCCCACCTTCCTCCAGAGCCCAACAAATCAGCACACATCCTCGTCATTTCAACTCAACCCCAAAAAAGACAAAGATAAGTACAAATTCGTACAATTAATACAAAACAATGTATCACCTTATCACTGCTCTCAACTCTCAATCTCTCACCTTACCATTAAGGGTGTCAATGGACCGGTTTTGGATTGGACCCAGTTCAGTATAAAATCAATTTTGGATGGATTAGACGGACCAATATGACAGATTGGATTGGACCAATTTGGTCCAAAATATTTATTAGATTGGATTGGACCTGATCAATCGTAACAAATTTATATTGGATTGTTGGATGAAGCCAATATCTGGTCCATTAATACAAGATAAGAATATATATGTTAATGGATCGGGTTTGGGTTGAAACCAATCTAAATTAAAATGAATTTGAACATATTGGATGGTCCAGACATTGAATTGGACTGGTCCAAATTGGTCCAAAAACATTCATTGGATTGGATTGGACCTGATCCATTTATATTGGACTCACATTGGACTGGATTGGACTGGACCAAATCCAGTCCAATTGACACCCCTACTTCCCACTGTTCTCAGTTCTCAGTCACTCATCTTGCCACTGCTATAAAAGTGTCAACAAAGATCAAAGCATCCATCTCTTATTGCATGCTTATTTTTATTTTTGTCGTACAAATTGCAATGAAAATCAAAATATTATTGTTCCCTTTTATTACTTCAGGGGCATTCTTTTTCTAGATTTTAAGAGTGGGGAAAGCTGGTCAATGGAATTTTGATTCCCATTGACCAAGAATCCTATGTTCTTTTTCATATTTATGTGGGGACCAGGGAAAATTTATTTTCCTGAGTATCACTTACTCGGATAAGTGGTACCCATCTCCTAGGTGGGTAAATAACTTTCCCACCTGGGAGAAAATTACCAACACTTGAATGGGACAAAAATGTCCCTTTTAATAATATATTTTTATGGTTAAAATGGTCATCGCCTTATTTATATGAAAAATAAAAGAACATGGGTAAATACACTTACCCAGGTAAGTCTTTCCTAAAAAACACTTGCTTGGATAAATAACTTACCAAAAAATAAACGGGGCCTTAATGGATATCAACAACAGCTTCGAATTGGATCAGGTTGGGATAGGGTTGAGGAATCAAGGATTTTAGGTCGGGCTAGGGTCAGAGTCGAAACCTTCAACATAGCATCCAGATGTTCTAAGAGTAAAAATGTGTTCCAGCTCATTGCTCGATATGAAACAATTGCCAGTGGTTCTGGAATTTTAAACCACCCCAAAATATTGTGTTCTAGAATATCAAAGAACCATTATTTGTTGAGGTTATTGAATAGTTTTTTATTGTTTAACACGCCTTTCAAATAAAAGTTTATTGTGCTTAAGGTGTGGATAAGCATAGGTCTGCCCATCCATGTCTTGCCCTTAAACTTAATCTGTTATAATAGAGACAACAAGGATCAAGCACTAGATCACTTAGTCAAAACAACTCTGACATCATCTCAAGAAACTATTCAAACTTACCACGTAACCACAATACCGAACTTGTAGTGTATTCCAAATCCAAAGCATACCATTTCAAACTCAACACAAAGGGGCGTAGTAGACTGGAATGCACCACACTTCTATTATCACAGTACTTAACACATCCTTAGTCTAAATAGACATGCAGTTGTCAGTTCAAAATTTTAGGAGCTCAGATCCATTCATACGGAACATTGGCGTGTCAATCATGAATAGTTAAGTAATCCGTTAAACATAAGCCTGTTATTCACGGGCGCCCAACTTTACACTATCTCAGACTTGAGCTTTCCGTCGGATCCATTAGAATTTTGATAAAAGCCAAATTCAAACCCGGCCATGAACAGGTCTAATTAAACACAGTGGCGAGCAACAGATCTAGTTGGATAAGATAGCTGGCTGAATTGAATGGTTAGTTGGGCCGGTTGATCCACTGCTTAGACACTTAATGGTCTTAGAGATCTCTAGGGTTTCAGATTTCAAAAAGAAAAATCCCTGATAAATCTAGACCCTTATCCATCTTGTTGAACTATTTATTAATCGGCAAGACTGTGTGTTATTTTCCTTTAAATATTGTATCTATTGATAGTTAATATGTCAGTATGTATGTATAACAAAGTGTTAAACAAGTGATTTACCTCGATAATGGTTAATAAAATTTAAGGTGGTTGCACTTGCATCTAGAGTTAACTTTTATAAATGAAAAAAATAAAAAGTGATTTACCTTTTGTCATATTTTTTTTTTCAAAATATTTGTTGGTTTTCATGTTTTTATGTGTTCATTGTACAATTTTAATTATAAGATTTGGGTCATTGGGTTGATTCCATAGTCAGATTTATTACACCTGAGACCTGAACCCATCTCCTGATGACATTGGCAGAAGAAGGTAGCTCCACTTTATACTCTCTCCCCATACCTCGAAGATAAAGAGGAATCTGGTTGCTGCGGTGTTACCTACATCCAAACTACTTTTGGCATCTTGGAAAGTCTCTCTAATTGAGAGAAACAATTCCAATTAACTAGCTTTCAAAAAGCTAGGATATATGTAGAGAGTAAGCATTCCAGGTAGGCAAAGTGTTTGGAAATTAAAGGGATTCCCCACTAACTGCTTATTACAACACAGTCAATATTGATCCAACCTCTACTCATTACGTCTAGTTTAAATTCATGGCACCTGTCCACAACTTTTTTTCCTTTTCTATTTGAATGCAAATCTTGGTTTGCGATCCATGCAACTATTGGTTTTCTTTGGCTTTATTTGAATAGAGATTCTCTTCTATATATTGAGGAGAGTTGGAGAAAAGGTAAAGGCATGGTTAGGGTTAGGGGTGTCAATTGGACTGGATTTGATGTAGTTTAGTATGAGTTCATTACTGAAGGCAGATTAGGTCCAATCCAACCCGATGAATACTTTAGACCATTTTGGACCAGTCCAATTCATTGTCTACACCATCCAATCTGTTCAATTTGGTTTTAATTTAGATTGGTTCCAACTCAAACCTGATTCATTGACACCTATGTCCTTATCTTCTATCGATGGGCCAAATATTGGTTCAATCCAACCTAATAAATACCTTGAACCATGCATTAAGTTTGGACTGGTTCAGTTCAATATGTTTTATTGATCTATCCAATCTGTCCAAATTGATTTTGATTTCGACAGGGTCTAATCCAAAACCGGTCCATTGACACCCCTAGTTGGGGTGGCCACAAATCCCATTATTTAATTTTTGACCATAATTTACCATCCAATTGGTGGTTGGGGTTCAGGTGCTATATGTTTGGTTGATAGAAATTAATATAGCTCTCCCATTTTCTATCAAGCCAAACACAGCATTAGGGTTGATTGAGGGAAAAGCCACATAGGAATATTCCTTCCTCATCAATGGGTTATGTAAGGACCACTACCCTATACCCTCCTAATATTCAGTAGGTAAAGACCAAGATTGGGAAGAAGGTGAAACAATAACACTCTGCATTCATCTATAAAAGACACCATGAGCCAACACACACTCCTTGCACCTTGAAAGAGATACTCTGATTTATCTCTGCATAGTTTGAATATTAGAATGGCACCAGGCCGATCCGATCTTGTGAAACTAGGGAAGGAGGCCTTTGACATGTTGGATTATGTTGGAGGTGGTGGCCGGAAGAGAATGGTTGCTCAACCCGCAGCAGCAGCTTCTGCTGCTGTGGGAGGTGGCTCCTCTCTTGCTGTTCCAGCAGCCCAATCACCAGATGAGATAATAGACTGCAGACTGTCGGCAAAGGAGTATGGTAGAGTTCAGATTATGGACTTTGGTCCAAGAAACGGGCCTCACGGTCGCAAGGCTTATTGAATTCTCCTTGTTGGTCATGTTATCTTCTCCTACCTATATATATATGTAGTAGTGCCTCCTCATAGATTACATAGTGCTGTAATATTGTATCAGTTATGTGTATAATCAAAACTATATTGTGTCAGTTATGTGTAATATTTGTTCTCTCTCTCTCTCTAAGAAGGCCCAATTATACAAATACCAAAAAGTTGTGTTTATCTTAGAAAGGTTCAACTGTATAATATTAATCCATACATTTAATTTAGGTCATCAAAGTGGTCTCTTAGGTTTAGTACATTAATTTCAACCATCCAGATGATGTATTAAAACTTAATTAATTTTGACCAATCAAAACCCACTTATGAATTTCGATAAATAGCATCTGATTTATGATTCCAGTTGATTGGTCAAGAGTTTTTCGGATATGATATCTTTTCCGTATCATAGCTGAACCCATGAAACTATTATCAAAACAATGCAAAAGTTTAGGCTACTAAAATGGACTTCTGCCGCAAAAGAATTGATCTCAGTCACCCAGGCAATTAATGTACCAATATTTTGATTCATCTTGGCTATTCAAGTAAAGCAGCAGGTTTTATAAGAAAAAAAAAAAAAAAAAGCCAAATTAAATAAAGTGATAGATGTACCGAATAACACCTAAGATTTAGGCCTAAAAATAGAATTCTAAAGAGTCAAGATCAGTCAACTAATTTAACCGTTCAAATGATGTCATGATAGTTCGTTTGATTCATTGATCTTGGAAGACCATTTTAGTGGCTTAGATCTACTATTGGGTACCAAAAGATTGGCTAAATCAGTCGAATTCCTATGACAGGGAGATTGGTATTTCAGTATTCCATTTTATTCAACACTACCCCCTCATGGAGCATTCAGTTGTTTAGAAGTTGAAACAAGCCACATCACTTAGTCTCTCCTTTTGGGGGGATTCGGTGCAGTGGTGTTGTGTTGCCGTAGCATTTTAGGTTGATCCATATAAATTTGTGATAGATTTTTCTATTTGAAATGTTTTGAAAACGTTCTGGATTGGTCAATACAAATTGTTATTTTTTTTTTAGTCTCAAATTTTATTCTAAGTGGAGGGGTGGCAGGGGAAGACTTTTTAGATACAAATTGTGATAGATTTTTTAGTCTCAAATTTTGAAAACGTTCTGGATTGGTCAATACAAATTTTATTAACCATTTTGAAAAAGAAAATTTGTAATAACAGGGGAAGACTTAACTCACCTTGCCCCATAACCTAATCATACATAGCTCTCCCTCATTATCTCAGGCCCACCCAATAAAAGAAAAAGCAAAAAAGCCTAACAAAAACTTRTAATAACAGGGGAAGACTTAACCCACCTTGCCCCATAACCCAATCATACATAGCTCTCCCTCACTATCTCAGGCCCACCCAATAAAAGAAAAAGCAAAAAAGCCTAACAAAAACTTATAATAACAGGGGAAGACTTAACCCACCTTGCCCCATARCCCAATCATACATAGCTCTCCCTCACTATCTCAGGCCCACCCAATAAAAGAAAAAGCAAAAAAGCCTAACAAAAACTTATAATAACAGGGGAAGACTTAACCCACCTTGCCCCATAGCCCAATCATACATAGCTCTCCCTCACTATCTCAGGCCCACCCAATAAAAGAAAAAAGCAAAAAAGCCTAACAAAAACTAATTTAATTCTAAGAACGAGTAAACCCAAATTATCTTCATAAATAAGACAAGCCAAATCTCTAGCCATTGAGCATATTTAAAATTGCTATTTCTTTTTAAAACATCAAATTATATGTTGTTTTTCACAACATGCATTTTTCTAATAGAAATGACATATACCGATACACGATGTGGCAACATATGTTTTGATTAACTCAAAATACAATAGCAACACAACACCACTATACCAAACACCCCCTACTTTATTCCACATTTGAACCACCACAACCCTACTTTATTCCCAATATATATATTCTTTTGGATTCGTGTCCTGCCCCAACTCCAATCCCTTCCTCTTGGATTCCCCACTTGGATTCTCGCAGTAGAAGTGGATATGAAAATGAAACAAAACACATCTTCTCTGAATATCCTTTTTCTTTCTTCTTTTTCAAATCCAGCTTAATGCATGTATGAGAGAACGGTTCTCTTGCTATGCCTTTTTATTTGGGCCTCCATCTTCTCTAAAGGCACTGTATGTTTTGCTGTGCAAATCTGAACAGTATAAAATTTGCACCGGTTTCAATTTTGCATCCATTTGTTTAATTATAATTTGTACTCGACACAAAATTTATACTTTTTTTTGTCTCATTAATTTGCATTATCTTCTTCTTACTTCAATTCTCTCTCATATAAAATAAGAACCATATTATCTTTTTTCTTAAATTACCCCTACCTCTATTTCTTTTGGCTCAGTTTGGAAGGAATACAAATACAAATATGTAGAGTGCAAAACCTTGTATTTAGTATTATTTTGTATGTATTTATACTATACATATTTATATTTATGTTCATTTCAAATTAAGCCTTTAAATAAGGTAGTAACTGCATCATTCACCATTTTACTTCCCACAAACAAATAAGATGGAACGGAATCAAAAAGAAAAAAGAGTAAACCAGAATTCATACTCTTATTTGCACTCCCATGCATTTACACCAATGCAAATAAAATTTGCACCACAAACGAACTAACCCAAAGTATTCTACATCACACTTTCTCCTTATCATTTATCCACTGTGCCATAACATGATAGTGAAACCGAGTCCAGCCATGTATTCCTCGCCAATATGAGCTAGATAAATTTCTGTACCATAATTGTCTATACATACATATATACGTATATGCATACATACATACATACATACATACATACATACATACATACATACATACATACATACATACATAATAAAAAAAATGCACTTTTATGTTTGTTCCCTATATACTAAGGCTGTATTTGGTTTGAAAGAAAAAGTAGGAAAAGGAAGGAAAAGACAGGAAAATTTTTACAAACCTCATATACGTTTCCTTACTTTCCCTTTCTTTCCCTACCTTTTTCCTTCAAACCAAAGAAAGGCAAGTTTTCTTCCTCTACTATTTATGCTAAAACTGCTTTGATACATAATTATTTGCAACAGGATCTCCCTGCAAATAAAAATTCTGAACACATTTTACTAGTGTGGGCATCTATCTGCACATTAGGACCATTTCTCTGAATTTAACATACATATACGGCAGCACAGGTGATATTCTTGATATGCAGCTAGATGCTATGTGTACAGTGTTTTTGCTTACAGGAGATCCCATTGCGAATAATTAATCTATAGTAGAATAAGGTAATATATTAAGATTGCATTTGGCATTCCTTATTTTAAGAACTTTTTTTTTTCGGAATTTCTTATTTTAAGAACTTATTTTATTTTTGCTGTAAAAAAAAGATAAATCTTTAAAATAAAGAATGCCAAATTCAACTTAATTATATGAAAATGGAACTTTTATTTCCGTTTTAGATAACCCACGATGTCATGAGTCATGTAATAAATAAATGAATAATAGAAAAAAAATGCATAAAGATAAAGAAAATTATATATTAAAGTTTACAAAAAATGGGCATGTCTCTGCTCTTTAATATTATATAATCATAGTATTGAATAAAACATAAAAAAATGACTAAAAACAAAAAAAAAAAAATTGGAATAAAAATTAATGTGTAATTATGACATGCTGAACAGGGTATACTGACGGGGTACCAGGCCATTTACCAAGTCCAACATTTTTCTAACCAGCAAATAGATCAATGGACCTGGAAACATGATCAGATTATAGTGGTTCAACCACTTTCAACCAAAACATTGGTACTGATTGGACGGTAGTGGGGCTCACGGAACCGTGGGCCTAAATTCCAAACCAAATCGAGAGTATTGGTTTTTGGAAAATCGGTAATCAAAATTGAAATAAAGTCAATCAGTTAACCAATTGATTAATTTGGTTAATCGTCAGTTTAGTTTGTTGGTTTTTTTTTTATTTTATAAAATATATTGTAAATAAATATATAATAAAAATATAAATATATGTAAAATATTATATTATATTATAAATAATTATTAAGGAAAAATCAAAGAAAACAGATTCAAATGTCACCCAAACTGAAAGTAAAATAGAGATAAAGAGAAACAAGCCTAGAAAATACACACACATTTATATGGTTCAGCTTATAGCCTACGTCTATGGGCAATGGAGGAACAGAAATTGTACCCTCATAGGAAAAGCCTAAGCCCCAAAATACACTCAATGTGTCACTCGTCTCTCACAAAACTCAAACTCTGTATACAAGAGAGAAAACCCTCGAAATACACAACTCTTTGTATTCGGTTCGGACCTATAAGATGAATATGGGTCACGTCCATACCGCCGCACCCCTAATGGTGATTACGCATCCACGACAAACCACTATGAAAATTTACCTTCGAGTTTTTTTCAAAATTAATTTAGAGCGGATTCATGAACCAGATCGCCACAAAGAATTCAAGACACAAACATAACAATAATATATTATATACTATATACTATAAAAAATAATATATATATATATATAATATATAACATACATAAATATATATATAATTGTCGGTTCAATTAAGCGTCAGTTTTTATATTGGTTAATGGAAATCAAATCGGTAACTTCGGTTTTTAAAAATACCAAATTGATAAATTTGATTAACCAAAATTTTCAATTCGATTTCATCAATTCGGTTTGGTTTTCTGGCTTTTGGTTTTGCTTGCTCACCCTATTGAACAGTACTCGTAAATTAAAAGAAGAAGAAGAAGAAAAGAGAAACTATTAATTGAACAGAATCTGAGGTTGGATGCAAAGAGAAGTTGGAAGAAGTAGTGGTCCCGGAGAGATCGAATATAATCTCATAAAACAGGTACGCAGAAGCTAAAAGGAATATCTATATAGTTGATACGTAAACCGACCACCAAAACCAACGAAATGAGGCTTATCCATTTGAAAAGATTAAAGATTCTTTCAAGGAGGAGAGTACTATATAAAGCGTTTAATTCATTGATCCTGTGATGGGGGAGTAAAAAACATAGAAACGAAGCTAGTTTCTCTTCATTTTTAGCTATTACTGTTGTGGTCAAGCTAGCTCTTAAGAGATGGTTCCTGCAGCCAAAGCCAACCTTGTTAAAGCTGGGATGGAAGACTTAGGCTTTACTGTACTGGAGGAGCATGTGGAGCGGATGAGAATGAGAATGAGATCTCCAACTGAACTGCATTCACATGGTCACCTGCAGATTCAAATTGCCCCTAAAAAGGAAGCTACTGATTCTTATCAAGCTTACAATGGAGTCCTGACTGCAGATTATTGTACCAAAATACCACTTTCAAACCATTAGGCTCTGAGTCCTTTCCTCCTCGTACAATCAATCTTGATAACTAGTCATAAGTCATGTTTATTCTGTAAGAAATTATGCCCTACCATGCTAAAATTGTCCATGAAGTCTGATTCATCACCTTTTCATAGAAAATTTTCTCTAAACCAATCTCTCTGTGCATATACATACAGACATACATACATACATACATACATACATACATACATACATACATACATACATACATACATATGTATATATATGCATTTATTCAGTATTTATAATAAGAGAGGAAATAGCCTCCCAAGCGGCCCAATCTGCCAATTAACTTCACGGAAGATATGATTGATGATACGTCACCCCATAGTCCAGATGCTCACCCGATCTCTCCATTACTCCTCAATAAGTCTTCAGTCTCCACGGCGCTTCAAATTTCTTCGAGGCATGATATGATCAGAAGAGAATCCCCTCAATAAAAATTGGATGATCCCTGTAATTATGAACAATATTATGGGCCTCCCACGCAACCCAAGCTTCACATAAGATTAATGAAAGTGAAACCAATGGAATAGGTTTTGACTTTTAAAACTTCCCCAAGCTTGCATGTCTCTAGCGATGCAAGCAATGGCACAAGAGCCATTAACTTTGATTTCTTCACCTTTATCATTCTTATTTTTCCAAATAAACCAAAGGATGAATGTACATTTTTTCTCTTACCTGCCTAGCATCATTTTTATCATTTTCCAAATTATCCCACCATTCTCTAACACTATTATCCAAATCACTAGGGCCGACCAAACCAGTTTGTAAACAGTCAAGTCAACCAAACTTGCTTAGCAAATGAATAATTTTTTAAAATGTTATCCGCCACAAAAATTGCAAGCACCATTAATAATTTCACTCCCAAGTTAGATAATAGAAAAGGTTTACAAAAGCCAGTCAATCGGCAAGGCCCAACCAAGCCCAAACTCGGCATCAGTTGTATTGGGCTAAACTTAGGTTGGATTGGATTGATAAACTCAATCTTTACCTTAGGTTGGGCCAGGCCCGAGCCCATGATGTAAGTCTTAGGGTCAGGCTTGGATTCTCCCTCAATGACTCAATCCATAACAAAGTCCTTAGCCTTCGGAGTCCCAATAGGATAGTCATCCATAACCAAAAAAAAAAAAAAAGATTGAGGGTGCAATTTAGCCATTTGGGACACCGTATGGGCAGGGCTATTAAAAGTTCAATTTACATAATAAAACTGAACTTTTGAAATGTTCATAATTAAGTTCCTGGTCTTTGAGAAAAGCCAATGGCACGACTAGGGCAGATCAATCGTCCTCTGTATAACCTGCACTATCTTCTGAGCATCCGAACATATGAAAATATCTTCACAATTCCAGCTCTGAATTTTCGTTAAGGCCTGCATGGTAGCAAAAAGTTCAGCTTGATCAACAGAGGTAGTGGTAGAGGTTTGGCCTCCAATAATTTTTAAACAGAATAAATTCTTTGAAAGAATGATAATGGCAAAACTGAGTAGCAAGTCAGAAATTTTCCCTGCATCAGTAAAGATAATTAAATCCGTAGATCTGTTGACAGGCAGCTGAAACATTGGAGCAGTAGATAACACATCAACACCTTGAGAATCCTTCTGATAAACCGGGGGTATGTTGGACTGTTTGCCTTATTATACTAATGATGGTTTGGGGAAGTATTTGTCTATTTCTGAAACATTTCTTATTACAGGTATACCAAATATAATAACAAGCAATAGCAATAGCAATCCACCCTAAAATTTGTAAAAATAATTTATTGTCTCCAATTAGAGTACAAAGGTTATTTATAATACAAATGACCTAGGAGCCTTGAAATATATTATTGGGGTGTAAGTTCTAGGGGGCTGCAGAAAATAGCTTGAGCATATTGACAATCAATAAAAAGATGCGAAAAGGATTCTATTGCTTCATTGCAAAGAACACAAAGTATATCTTGAGGGTTAACACAAACCAAGTCCATTACCAGAAGAAAATTGTTAAGAACTCTCTAAAAGAATAATTGATATCTAGGGGGAATAGAGAGTTTCCATATTTTTGTTAAGCAAAATTTGAGATGGGAGGAAAGATGTGGGAGATACTATTGCTGGTTTCTTTTGTAGTTCTCTTTTACTGTAAATTTTCCTGATTTATGAACAGCCCAAATTCAAGTGATTTCATTATTCGAAGGGAAGATTGGAGTTCTTAAAATTTTCGCAGCTTCCTCAGGTGAGAACAAGGAATAGATAGGGTCGGTTTCCACTAACCCGAGGTAAGGAGATTTGAAATACTCATATTTCTCATATGAGGAGTCAAAGGGAAAGGAATCCAAGAGAATTCATTGTGACTGTGTCTAGGGTACTTGGTCCACAAAGAAAGAGGAATTTTCGTTTACTAGGTGACCACACTCCAAAGCTAATTCCGTATTTTTTGGGCTTATGGATTTCCAGTAAATTAAGCATGAGGAAGTAGTTGAATAGGGTATGAGATTATGGTGTTTTAAATATTTTGATTTCCAAACTTGAACCCATAAATTGCGTTGCTCATTTAGATATCGCCAAGGAGGGCCAGATTTACGAATTTCATATTTTTGAGCCCTAAACCTCTAAAAGCTTTTGTAGGGTAATTTTATGCCAAGAACACCAACAATAAGGATGACTCCGAGAGTTAGAAACACCCCACCAAAAATCTCTAGTAATTTTTTCAACACTATTAATCATTTTCTGAGGATATTTTAAAAGACTCATAGAATGAAGTGAAGGGATGGGAGATCCATCATATGGATGGCCGAATCATGCAGGGTGGCTGGGCAAATTTTCAAAAATTTCTTTCTCCCACATGGGAATCATATTCCCTAATTTAGAAAAACTGCATTTTTCAAGATTTATTCTTGAAACAAAATCAGACCAAATCTAAAAGCAAGATTAGGGAGAGAAATACCTGATGCAGGATCCACGCAAAAAGCTCCTCCCAACGTTGTTCACGCCCAAAAATGGTACAAAATCCTTCCTCCACTGAAAATGACATAGCTTAGGATGAGACAGGATCAACAAGTGGATTCTTCAGCAAGAATCCCAATTCTTTAGCAAGAATTGTGTAGGGATGGGAGCACAGCTTCAAGATTATTTCTTGCACAAGAAATAATAGCAAAATCCAATCTTGATCACTCCAAGAGGTGGAGACCAAACAGGGTAGGGTGGCAAGAACAGAGAGAAAGAGAACTGAATGCAGAAAAGTCAATCAAACTGTGTGTCTAATTCCAATTTGCCATCCTCCTTTAGATAAACCTTAAAGAGTTAATCTCCAAATCTGATTAGGAGTTTCTTGATCCAAACCTTTATTTGGATCTAGACTTTTTAAGTGATAAGGCTTATCCCTTATCTTATCTACGGATCAGGATCAACTTCTCCTAATCCAATTACAAATTTTCTAATCCAAATCTTTATTTGGATTTAAACTCTTTAAGTGATAAGGCTTATCCCTTATCTTATCTACAGATCAGAATCAGCTTTTCCTAATCCAATTAGAAGTTTCCTTATCTATTGATCCATACCCAAATTCACCCCGATTTAATTAATCCAATTAGAAGTGTCCTTATCCGTTGATCCATACCCAAATTCGCCCCTATTTAATTAATCCAATTAACCCAATTCGAAATAGGCTTTAGGCCCATTAAGCTTTCAGGCTCATTTCCTTTTAATGCTATCTAGCTTGGCTCTCTTTGTATGGCATGGGACCCTATCATTGATCTCCACATAAGCTACATGGGTTCAGCCTAGCCTCTATTACAAGGTGATGAGGGCAGATTTGGCCCTCTAGTGAAATTGTGACACGTGGCACCTCGTGACATTTAGGCGACACCCAGGCAACAACTTACAAAGTTGGTGTCCCACCCAGCCTGGCCGGCCTGGCGTGGCCTACACGCGCCCTGCGTGCTGCTTGGCGCGGCCTGCACGCGCCCTGCGTGCTGCCTGGCGCGGCCTGCGCGACCTAGCCGACCTGGATCAACCTGGCACATGATCCAACCTGGCCGACCTAGATCAGCCTGGCACACGACCTGACCTGGCAACCCATAAGACGCCCACCGATAAACTCAGCATGCATACCCCACGAGCTCGGTAGCTCACCAAGGAGCTCAGTAGCTCACCAAAGACCTCGGCATAGCCCAAGGAGCTCGGCATAGCTCCCCCGAGCAGGTCACCACTTGTAGGGTAGCTCGGTACAGAAGGGTAGTTTGGCGTATCGCAGGAATATCTCATGCCTGCCAACCGTACCTGACAGATCTGGAGACTCGTGCCCACGTCTCTCGCCAGGCGGAGCCTTGCCTGGCAGAGCCGTACTCTACAACAATTGCTTGCACCCGTCGCCTCAGCTCTGACAGCGACGACTGCGGTAGAGAGACAGAGGTGGTTGTACCTAACTTGACAGAGGCGGTCACGCCTGATTTGACAGGACACCGCTAAATAAGGACTCCAACCCCTAAAGGCAAGGGGGAGGGGGAGAGAAGGAAAAAATGGAGGTAATCCCTGCTCTCTAGCTCTCTCATTCCTCTAATATCATCTTCAAGCTCTCGACAATCAGAGTGCTAACTTAGGCATCGGAGAGTCCCCGCCAGGTAAATACCCCCAGGCCCCCTGGTTCAGTTCTCGCAAGTTCCTCAGCTCCCACCGCCTACAAAGAGGAGGAAAAGATGGAATTCTCGCAGGTCCCTCAACTCTCGCTGCCTACAAAGGAGAGGAGATCACCTGATGCAGAGGGCAGTTGGGTTGCGCTACACCAGGGAGCTCCACCATCCTCTTGAGTTACAGAACGCCTAGGAGCAGGTCAAATGACAAGTCCACCAAGGTAACTCACCACCAGGGAGCTCAGTATAGCTCTCCCCCGGGTAGTTCGCCATCAGGGAGTTCGGTGTAGCTCTCCCCAGCTCGACATAGCTCTCCCCAGCTCGGCATAGCTCTCCCCAGCTCAGCGTAGC